TGGCAAGGCATCAGGGATCGCGGTTCGATCCCCCAGCACCACATGCCAGCCAGCCCTGCCCCCTGGTGGGCTGAGCTGGCCACACACACACACACACCACTCTCTCTCTCTCTCTCTCTCTCTCTCTCTCTCTCTCTCTCAAATAAATAAAAATAAAGAAAATAAGTTAGATCTGGGCTGTCCAAGGACCAGCCAAATAGTTCAGCAGATTAAAGGACGTGGAAACAAGGCCAGGGGCCAGGGATTCAACCCCCAGGCCTGCCGTGATGGCCCAGCCCCTGGGGCCCACTAAGACAACAATTGAGACTGGTTGTGGCCATAATCCCAGCTCTTGGAAAGCTGTAAACAGGTTGATCACTATGATCCCAATCTAGTAGTGACACCCCGAACACACTGTAGACCCTTAAAACACACACACACAAAAAAAAATAAAATAAAATAAAATAAAAATGAGTTAGACCTCAATGCTTTCATTTGAATAAAGCCCTACCTACATAATTGTTCACTCACAGTATGATTCAAAACCAGCCATGTATGTTCTCCTGGCTTCTACTCCATTGTATCCTGTACTATATAGTTCCTCTTTACAGAAATTGTTGACTTCACAAGACATTTTATTCTTAATATGGTGGCATCCTGGAAAAATAACTATTGGAAGTTTTGAGAAAGTAAATAATGACAAATCTTATTCCAGTTTTTAAATGATACATATAAAATAAGCAATTCAATTATATGTTATAACTTATTCTTGTTATAATTACCATTAAAAGGAGGAAATACAGAAATTAAATAAAATTCTCCTGCAATCCCAACAATAGACAATTCCTTGTGACTACCTATATTTTCTTTCTCTTATTTCTCACAGTGTCCATATTTCAATAAATGCATGCCTCCTTATGACAAAATAAATCATCTGTTGATGATAGATGTAATTTGATAATGTATACAATTATCTAGCTATAATTATAAAATACTTTAATAAATTGAAATCATAAACAGGCTTGGAGATAAAGCTAGTTTCACTCTGAGCCCAGACAAGAGCCCAAAGAGTTGAGCACAGTGCCTCCATTTAGGAGCTTGAAACCACGCAAGTCACTTGAATATACATGGCCTGGAGCATTGAGGAAAACTCAGTTTATTACTTCACAGGAAGACATCCATAGCCTTCTGTCTTAGATCTACCAATGTTACTACTTTTTAAGCTATAATTTATGCTTACCTATGTTATTTTATATTGGAAAGAGATACTTGTTCATGTCATTTTTGTGGTTGTAAAGTAATACTGTAGCATTTTTTAAAACAAGGTGGAAAAAAACAGGGTGGAATACTTAAATAAAATTAACATATGCCTCACCTCAAATTTTCAACATCTTTTTTGATTAGAGCATTAGAAATGTCTTAATGACATGGAAATGTCCAGCTCTCAGTGAGGTGTACACCTTTTGCTAGCATATACCAGGTTCCTAGGAAATGTCCAGCTCTCAGTTGTTCACTATATTCAAGATTCTATGTAATTGATCTTTAAACATTGGGCTTATTCCTCCTACACACCTCAGGCTTTCTTTCCTGGGGTTGTCACCTTATCCTTTCTCCCATTTTGCACACTCTAGTCACCATCATTCTGCTCTTCTTCTGTGGTTCAGTTGTCTTAGCCTCTATGTACGTGGAAGAATAGTATTTGTCTTTCTGTGTTTGCCTTCTGACACTTAGAGTAATCTGTTCTAATTCCATTCATGACATGATGCAATGCAGATGTGGGGTTTTTTGGTGTTACTTTTTTGCCTTCAAAGGCTGAATAATATCTCAGAGTGTGTGTGTGTGTGTGTGTGAGTGTGTGTGTGGGGGGAGGTACTTCACATTTTCTTGTGTATTCCTCTGGTGGTGGGTGTTTAGGCTGATTTCATAATTTTAGCTATTGAAAATAATGTTACAATGAACATTTTACAAATATCTCTCTGATATATTGATTTCAAAACTTTTTGATCAACACAAGTGAGATGATTGAGTCCTATGGCATTTATACATTTAGTCTATTTTCTTCTAAATGTTTTTTGAGATTGATATTTGTATGGCATTTTTTGTGGTATAATTAAGAGAAAATTAGTCTCAGTTTACAGAAAGAGAATTGTTCTTCCTATTTTAATGATAAGATTATACAATGAAGAAATGTTTTTATATTTTTAAAAGCAGTTAATATGTTAATACTACAGCGAATATGGAAGTTTCTTCAATAGACAAGTAACTTCTCAATTGCCATATGCAACTGTATTTTAAATTTTGGCCCTTACCTCTTTTGCAAAGGCTTAATGTGTGTGCATCTCACTTCAGCAGAGAGAAGAGTGAGTCTCTTCCAGAGGACTTTTCCAGCATAATAGTAACTATAGCACAAGCTTCCTGCAAATGCTGATATTTAGCCACTCTGATCTTGATGAGGTTTGAGAACTTACTGGGCTAGTTATGAGCAGACACTCACAGTCTAAAGTGTTTGCAATAAAAGGAGCTTCCTCCTGGACACAGCCAGAGCCTTTTGAGAAAGCAGTTTTAACATCACTGGATGTTGTGTTCTCAGCTGAGATATGACACAGACATTACAGAATTTTAGGATATATAGAGCTGTGAGTGTTTGAGCGATTTAAAAGGTTTCCCTTAAGTGCAAGAGAAAAGAAAGACCCACAAAGAACACTGAGTTCCTAAGACATTAACTCCCAGAAGTGTAGCAGAGTGATTAACTCAGAAGTATATTTATTGATTTCATATGAAAATTTACACAGGTAAAAAAAAATATGAGAAAAAGGTTAAAATATTTTCCCCATTTTTCTTTTTGAACTGTGCTATAACCATGTAATGGGAATTTCTTGTCATTTAGGTTACAGGCCTTTTTTAATTATACTGTACATGTTCCTAAGACTGTAAACTAGTTATATTTGTCTAATTTGATTTCATTTTGTTCTTTACCATATTTGCATTAACTTTTGTATCATTTTAAGCAGTGGAGTCCATGTTTTCTTTGTTTTTGGTGCTCAGGGATTGAACCTTGTTTTCTATATTATAGAAATTTAGTTTTAGTGACACTTATGGAAAATATTTTTCCCAGGCCTAGTCGAATAGCTCAGAGGATTAAAGCAAATGCAAGGAGGCACAGGGTCCAGGGGTTCAATCCCCAGACCTACCATGCCGTTCTCACCCCAGGGCACTCTGAGACAGCAACTGAGATTGGGCGTGATGGCGCACACCTGTAATCCCAGATCTTGGGAGGCTTTAGATAGGCTGATCACTATGAGTCTGATCTAGTAATGAGACTCTGAACACCCTATAGACCCTTCCCTAAAAAATGTAAAAGAAAATATTCACCCTATTAAATTTTCTTAACACAAGTGCATAAAAAACCACCTACATGTACATGCCTCTGTTATGAGAAATCCATGTTGCACTGTTAATTTGGCTCTTTGTACACTAATACAGCAATATTTGAATTATGGTGCCTTTATTTAGTTTTTGTTTATGATAGTTCCAGTATTCCAATTTTAGTCATTTTTTCCCCAGATCATTGGTGTTATTTTCAATACTTTACATTTTTTATGTGTATTACGTCATTTGGTTGTAACCTTCTAATGCTGCTCCCTGAGATTTTAGTGGGTTTAACTTATAGGTAAACCTCTGCAGAACGAGTCTAAAGAATATTGAGTGCCGGCGAGACAGCTCAGCCGACTAACGCGCCTCCCTAAGTCGACTCAGGGATCTGGGTTCAATCTCGGCATGCTGTGCAGGCCCTGCTCCTGGAGGGCACTGAGAAGGTGACCGAGACGGGGCGTGGTGGCTCACACCAGCAATCCCAGTGCTTGTGAGGCTGGAAACGGGAGGATTGGTGTAGTGAGACACTGTAGACCCTGTACTTCATACATTAAAAAATAAAAACAAAGAACAATGAAACCTCAAATCTATAAGCATGATTTTTCCCTACTTGAATAACCATAATTTTTCCCACCAGTTTTTGAACTATCACAGTATAAACTATAGTAATTTATCACCAAGATTTATATTTGTATTTGCTGATGTTATTTTAAAGAGTATATATTTTACTTGTTGACTAGAATTATGTTGATTGTTAAATGTATGTCTCTTATACTATTATCTTGTTAGATTGATTTGTCTTTCTAGTTTATCCTCATGTATTATTACTAAGAAATGTCCCATTTTATCTGTCCTAATATTTCTTGAGTTAAAACTTGTTTTCTCTTCAATAATCATACAAACTTTTTCTTATATTTGCAAAAACAATGAATATCTTCTAAAATTATTCAATTTTTCACTGAGGATAATAATTTTCTTTGAACTGGATGCTCAGTCTACTTGTATTAATGTAATTACTGAATTTTCTGTACTTTTCCACATGTCTGTTTTAAATTAGTACATTTTTGGTCACTTTTGGCTTTTATTTACAACTAAACTAGGTGTTATTCCTATAGCATTTTTGTTCAATATCAGTGTTTATTAGTCAAGCTTTTCTTTTGTTTCCAAGATAACTTAAAGATTGCAATATACATTTTTTCCCTCTTGCAGTCTATTTAAATAGTACATTTGTCTCTTTAAGAACACTACAAGATTTGTAACTCCCTTAACTCCTTTCCTGACTTTTGTGATTACTATCATATATTTTGCCACTACACATATTTAGGCTTTGCAGGATTTTACATACTCCATTTCTAAGCACTAATGTTTGCTCATAATTGCCCAAATACTTTTTCTTTCCAGTTATTCCATTATTTCTGCAGTTGTGTGCTTGCATTAATCATGATTATTTTATATTCTGAACAACATACATTAGAATTTCCTCTCAGATTTTCTTCATATGCATAAATTTTTATTTCATCATCATTTTTCACGGTTGTTTTCATTGCATATAGATAATCTAACAGGAGGGAATCTTTTCTCAGCTGTTCAAAGATATCATTTTACTGACTTCGATTCCACTAATTAAATTTAAGAGTTGATAACCAGTCTAAGGCTGCTCCACTAACAGTAAAGTGTGTAGATTATGACTCCACAGTACCACTTGCATGTGCATATTCTAGATAAAACATCTTCACAGCAGTAATGGAATATGTATTCCTGTATGCCTCACTGTGGTAATATCTGGCAGTACACTTTCCAGTTTCATCTTTAAGAAGAAATGGTTGAGAAAACAGAAGACTTTGGTAGTAATGAGAACACGCAACAAATGTTTCAAGAGGCAATTTGCAGCTATGAACAGAAAATTTTATTATGAGAAAACAGCAATTGGTACCATCTGGCTCTAGTTAGATTTACTAGGTTCAGTTTTCTGAAAAATTGTTCTAGCATATCATTAGGCTTTTACTTTTTCCTAGAAACTAGTCATCTTGCTTATTTTCTTGTGGCTGGGACATAGGACCTGACATTCCCAATTGAAAGGTGGAAAGGTTTATTTTGATTCACTCTGTGTAGACTTTGAGCCCGTGATCAGCTGGCTCCAGCCAGGGCAACACAGCCATGGCCGAAGGAATGAGCAAGCACTCGGGGAGGAGGAAGGAGATGCACCCAGGCCAGGTCTACAGCGAACCACTGCTTTTTTCCAGGCTTCATCTCCCAACATCACACCCAGCCCTAAACCCATCTAAAGACTAATCCCGTAAAAACTCATACAAACAAATGGCCTCCCGAGAGCCCCACCTTTGTGAGCATAAGGCTTTGGGGGGACATTTAGATGACACTGACCATGAAAAGACTTCAATTATACAGAATATGGGATGAAAATTTTCTCTGCAGAGTGATTGGCATGCCAATAATTGTGACCTTTTGTAAAAACATAATGAGACCAGATAAATATTCTTGGAAAGCATTTGCCTAAACTTATGGAGGAATCTGTTTTTTTTTTTTTTTTTTT